TATATATTTGTCTTTCCAAAAAAATTCCAAATTTTTTCATCATCACATCATCAGCATCAGAACTATGTTTTGAGACCATCTGTACCTTGTCTTCTGTCCCTTGTGTTCCAGGTGATTGCCAGAGTGCTTCTAAGCAGGCATGTTGTGCTAATGCTCAGAGACAGGACCCTCAGCACTCAGTGCAGTTGAATCAGTGGGAACTCATAAGATGCAGCTTCTGGTTCTGTAGATTGGGTGTAGACTTGAAAGTCTGTGTTGAGGTGGTCCTGGTAACACTGAGGCTGCTGCTGTGTGGGTCCTATCTGTATAACAAGGTGGTAGAATTTAGTTATGTTTCTTGTTTATGAATAATTTGCTTTCATGGAAAGGCCTTTATGCTGAAATGTATGGTGAAGAATGTATTAAAATCATGATACAACTTTAACTGTTCAGGTACAGTGAAGAGAGGAAAGTCATATAGCTAAGTAGTAGGAGTTAAAATTTCCATTTTCACCTTTATACTTTATAATTTGGCACAGTCAGCATTTCTCAGGAAGCTCATAGACACTGTTTCTACTGTTATCCAGCAGTACCAATGAAGATGAAGATCTGAATCCGGAACAGAAAATTGAAAGGGAGAAGGAAAGGCGGATGGCTAACAATGCCAGAGAGCGCCTGCGTGTGCGGGATATTAATGAGGCATTCAAGGAGCTTGGCCGAATGTGTCAGCTTCATTTGAAGAGTGAAAAACCTCAGACAAAACTCCTCATTCTTCATCAAGCCGTGGCAGTCATCCTTAGTCTAGAACAGCAAGTCAGAGGTAAGTCAGCCCAGCAGAGACAAACAGGCAAACATTCATTAACTATGCTTTGCTTAGGCAAGTTGTCTGAAAACTGTCTGTGCCGTCAGGATCCAACTCTCCTGTACTTCTTAGACTCAATATCTATAGGCTGGGAGCTTCCCACAAACCTGTAGAGCTCAATCCTATGAAATGGGGCAGAGAACAAAAAGCATCAGCCTGCTGTTCAGCTCGGAGCCCATTTCCTCCTGTGGACTCAGTGTCTATGTTTCACTGTTGAATTTAATTTGTCTCAACCTGCCCTCCTCTCTGCACCATGCTGTATTCCTTCCTTAGCACTGGATTTCCTCACGTGCTTACCCTGGGGCTTCTACAAATACTGCTGGTTAGTAGTGTGACTAAGCATGGCTCCTCCCTGTCTTTACCACACTGGTGTCCTTTATACCCATGTTAGATCTCAGAGCTGCTTTATTGATCTCTGTTAGAAATGACATATACTTCTAAGACACACCTTTGTCACATGTGTGGTTTGAAAGCTTCATTTGTTTAGTTTGTATTTGTCATAGCACCTCTCTGTGCTGGGCAGCTATCAAATAGTAGACACTTCTGCCCTTAAGGTTCCACTGTCTAGCTTGTGTTTCAGCAGTCGCCTGTGTAGTCTGTCAGTTGCTAATGTTTTATTTACAACCTTTTTGCAAGGAATTAATAAACGTTGCTCTGGACCCCAAGCCTTATACAAGTCTCTTTGCTTGTGAGCAACTCTCTTTCCTACTTGTGTTGGGTTATCTAGATGTTCGTATTGGGTTTAAATAGAGTAGGGTAGGCAAGTGCTTGAAAACTACAACCACGATCCGTCAACATCACAAAAGATGACTACACAGAGAATCACTGGAACAAACCTTCATAAAAACCGGTCATCGCTGCAGATTCTTCATTTCTATGTCCCTCCAGTATGTTGTATGTGTAGGAACATTGTATAGTCACCCTTTTCCTAAAACCAGGAATGTGCTCATCTTGATCAAAACCCTAGAAATGTATGTAGAGGATAAGTGTTCATGAAACCAGATCTTGAAGAATTACAGCCTCCTGTGTAATGCACCAAGACTGACAGTTGCTCACGTGATAGTAACAGGAACATTGTTCTTTCCTTAGCCATTCTCATGTTCAGTTATTACCACCCACTTATTTCTTGAACTGTATCTGAATGAACACTTGGCCCCACTCTGAAATCAACAGTGTCTGAGGAAACCACAGATGTATTCTCCTTTTCTTTAACTCTTGATTTCACCAGCAATTTATTGTTAAAGCTGTCTTCTCTGTCGGTGTGATCAGCAAAGCTGCCAGAATTTATTCTTATTTAGCACCTTTTCATTCCCACCGTGTATTAGAGCTAAAGACAGTTTTTTTTTTAAGCTTTCGAGTGGAGATACATATTCTCAAATCCAAGCCATTAAAATGAGAAATGTTTCATTATTTGAAAAAAGTTAGAAACCCTGCCTTTCACAGGTGGACCTTGTTCATTTGTAACATGCAACTGAACAGAAAAACCAAGTCATAGAGAACATCCAGGCTTGTCCAACTACCTCATAACTGTACTGTTCTGAGTGTAGCTCTGACTTTTTCACATTTTCTGAGCTGTCTATGGAATTCTTTACTGATTAGAGATGAATGAGCTTCAGATACATTGAACTGCAACTGTCCTAGGGATTGCTTTAATCTCAGGAAGGCCTTTTCTTCTATTTTCATACTGTAAGCCTGAAGGCCAGAGCCTTTATCCTACAGTTCCTTCTCAAGGCTCCTTGAAAAGCATTCAGATGCCTCTGTCCAGTATCTCATCAGCTCCCAGTGCTGCCTGGGCCTTGGCAGTGTCTTCTAAGCTTGGTATAGTTGTCATTGCCTGAACTGTAGCTCCAGCAATTGAGACTTGTAATAATGTTCATTTAGGAAGACTTGGTATACTTGTAGTCCTGAGCCCAGCAGTTTACATAAGGTGTGCTTTGTTTACTTGGTTTAGTAGGCCTAGTCTGGCACCTTTTGGTTTGCAATGTGCTCCAGACTGCATCTGACAAATCCCAACCTTGAGTCTGTAGTGGTATATTATTTGTATTTTGATAAATAAAATTTTCCTGAAGACCAGAGGCAAGTCTTAAAGCCATTAGAGGTTAGGTAATGGTGGCACACACCTTTAATCCCAGGATTTGGGAGACAGAGTCAGACGGATCCCTGTAAATTCAAGGCCATCTTGGGCTACACAAGATCAATGCAGAAACAAATCTAGGTGGTGGTGGCTCACACCTTTAATCCCAGCACTAGAGGGAATGAGGGAATATAAAATGGGAGGAGAGAGAGGCTTAGTCTGTTCAGTTTGTGGTCATCCAACCTTGGTAGAGGTAAGACTTCTTATAGTGGCTTGGCTGCTTTTTCTGGTTTTCGGGTTGAACCCCAATTTCTGTCTCTGGGTTTTTATTATTCATGTTACAGTAGTCTCCTAAAGCAGACATATTTAGGGTTTGGTTGGTTGGTTTGGTTTTGGGCTACATAGTGAGACTCTGTCCTCCTCCCCCCCCCAAAATGCCATTTCTGTGAATAATATGCTCATTACAGTTTAGTTTTAAATGATCTTTTTGTATCCATTAAGGTATTTTGAATCAGTTTATAAACTGATGTGCATGGCACTTAGCCTCATATAGCATATGCTTATAACAGAAACAAAAATTAAATAAACTGTCATAAGCAAGATACCTATGCTTACCTTTCCATTTTTTAAAAGATATATTTATGCATTTTATGTATATGTATATTCATTTACATCTGCACACCAAAAGAGGGCATCAGACCACATGAGTCTACAGTTATAGACAGTTTTGCACCACCATGTGGGTCCTGAGGTTTTAACTCAGGGCCTCAAGAAGGCCAAACCGTGCTTTTAACTGCTGAACTATCTCTGAGACCCCACTTTTTCATTTCTCATGGTAGCCCCTATTCTTTTTACTTCTCAGAGACACCTGCATCACACATCGTATCTTGTCATCTTGGCTATCTTCTTAAAAAGTTTTAGCATCTTCCTTGCTATACCACAGCCACAGAAAGAACTCTGTCATCTTATTCTATGTGTATATTAGGGTAGGGAAGGAAAGAAAGTCATGGTGGTCTGCTTCCCTTGTTTTCATGTGTTCCTATAAAGGCATAGTTTTCTGAACGGGTAAATGTGAAGTGCAGCACAGATGTCTTTCCATTAAGAGTGTACCCGGCCTACATATTAATTCACTGTAGCCTATCATGGCAGGACCCATAAAGAGAACTTGATTGACAAATAATAGCACTTACCAAGATTTGTTTAAATATTAACATGTGGATTTCAAACAAACTAAACCCTAGAAGACTAAATAATAATCAAAAATAAAAAAAATACAAAGTGATCACTAAGAATTCTTGTGTCTCGTTTAATACTGAAGGTTTAGTTCAAGCATATCATGGTTGCCTCTGTAAATTAGAAAATTTAATATATAAAAATGAAATTACAGAGATTGATCATCCTCACAGAAAGAACAATAGCAGTTTGTTCAACTTAAAACTCAGCAGACTTTATCCTTGGCAGGAAGATAACGACAAATTAAAGGCTATCCTGGGTAACAGAGACCAGACCAATCAGGCCTGGAGATCCAATCTCAGTGTCATTTGCCCAACCCCTGTCCTCAGCTCCTTGTTCTGCCCTCTTACATACTGATAACAATTCTCTCCTGCTATAGAGAGGAACCTCAACCCCAAAGCAGCCTGCCTTAAGAGAAGAGAAGAAGAAAAGGTCTCTGCTGCGTCAGCAGAGCCACCAACCACACTGCCAGGAACCCATCCTGGGCTTAGTGAAACTACAAACCCTATGGGTCATCTGTAAACATCAGCCAGGTACGTATGGGTCTGGGAAGGAAGTACAAAGACACCGCTTTAGGTTTTTTTTTTTTTTTTTTTTTGGTTTTTTCGAGACGGGGTTTCTCTGTGGCTTTGGAGCCTGTCCTGGAACTAGCTCTGTAGACCAGGCTGGTCTCAAAGAACTCACAGAGATCCGCCTGCCTCTGCCTCCCGAGTGCTGGGATTAAAGGCGTATGGGATTAAAGGCTTACGCCACCATCGCCCGGCACCACTTTATTTTAAAGTGGTTAGAACTATGGAGCTACTTTCTGGCAGGCACTGGTAATTGTAAAGGTCACTTAGAATTTGGAATACTGTGATCTGTTTGCTTTTCTGTTGTCTCATCAAAACCAGTATCATTTTAGACCAAATTACTATTCAGATCATTTGAATAGCTTGCAACTCATAAAGAGATGCCAGGTCTTCTTAGTCAGCACATTTGCTCATTCTCCAAGAAGACAATGTCATAGTGACTCCTTTCTCAAACTTCTCTGCTTCTTTCCTTGGTCCACATTCTTCTGTTCACAAGAATGGGCCATACCATGGAGTAGTCCTCCGCTAACCATCTGCATGTGGCTCCTCTCTACAAGGTCATTACTGCACACTTGCACTTGGATTCCTAACACAGTGTCAAATGCAGTTGCTGTGCTCTGAACCCACTGGTGGATGAATGTAAATACGTTAGGTGATACACCCAAAGTAGCCCTCTTTCTGGTGGAGTATTATTTATTGAAGACTTCAAAGTTAATATTTTGGAAGCTGTGTGAACTATAATTATTTTTAACAGTAGCATTTTAGCTAGCAGCATGGATTAAGAATAGAATTGATAACTTCATTGGGGATTTTTGGTTTTAGCTTTTGGTTTTTTTGAGACAGGGCCTTACTATGTAACCCTCACTGGCTTAGAACTCACTATGTAGACCAGTTTGCCCTTGAACTCACAAAGATCTGCATGCCTCTACCTCCCAAGTTCTAAATTGAGGGTATGTGTTATCACTCACAGCCATAATTCCATTTTCCTAACCTGCCTTCAGTGTTGTATATAGTAATTTTCTAAAGTTTTTTAGCAGATATAAAATAGTAGGGACAAATGGAGGGAAACAGGAATATCAAATGTAGTTTCTTTTGGTTAGCTTTGTGACTATCTCGAGATAAAAATCTGGAATTTGATAGAATAGTGAGTAAAGTAAACTGCTCTTTCAGTGTAGGATTTGGTTTATGCCAACACTACCAGAATCAAATTAGATTGCAGTTAAAAATGAATGTGGGGGAAAAAAAGGAAGAAAGGTCAGTATACTGATAGTTATCATTGTAACATTAGCACCCTGAAGGGAACTCGATTAACACTTCCCCACAAATATCTCCATCATGACTAGGTTTTCACGTCACAGAGTCCTCAGGCAAGAGCTTACTGATTTCCACACTTTCTAAAAGGCAAGCCTTGCATTCCGTGGAAGACAAAATGTTGTAGGAAAGTAACTGGTCTGTTTCATAAATACATATTTGTGTCTTCAGATAAAAACGTGCCACTGTTTCTCAGTGGAGAGGCGACATTTTAAGTTGACAGGTCTAGAAGAGCTGTAATAAGAAGTAAATTCATACAAAGCTCAAGTCATGGGTTTCCCTCAGACTGTGAAAAGAACATTTACTACACTCAGAGCCTGTCTTGCTTCCTGTCTGCTATTGTTGTTCTCCCCTCAGTTTATTCTTGATTTTTTTTTCACCTGTTTTGCTTTCTGCTGCTTTGGAATCTCTAGCCTTATCTTTCTCTATAATGTGGAAATACTCTCACTGAGGGGCCCAGTGATCCTGTAAGCCTGTTCAATCCCCAGAATCCACATAGTTGGCCTTAGACCACCATAGATGCACAGTGGCAAAAGTGCTTCTGTGCTTATTAATAGTAATAGTAACAATTCAGGAAACATACAAAAAGTTTCCAACAATTTGCCACCATTGTAAAACCAAGTAGCTTTTAATAGTTTTCGATCCCGGGAGTATCACTGTTAACAAACAGTATTGTCTTTGATTCTTCCTAAACTGTTCTATTATAAGTAATTTTAATAGAATTTTTCAGGGTTACTAATAACATGCATTATATTGGAAACACACATGTATAAAATTTGAACTAATAAGATAATTTCTTAAATTCCTTAGACAAATATTTAGTGAGGACCTACCTTGGACCAGCAACTGGGGCTTCAGAACTTTCTGTTTAGAATAAATGAATATAAACAACCCAATATGGTGAACTGGGGGCAGCAGTGAGAGAGTGTTGTGGTTACAGTGTTGAGCAGTCAATGGGTAGAATCTGAGGTCAGTTATTGCCAACTTACCTGTTCCCAAAATGGAGGTTAGCATAATTGTCTCGCTAAACTGTTGTATAAATTCTTAGTCATAAGCTCTCCTTTACATACACATCAGGTAAAACTCACAAGTTAGCTTCACTTTCCATGATTCCAGTTACTTATAGCCAGTGTGATTCTTTGTGCTCTAACAAATAAGGTTGCCTGAAGATCAGAGGGCAGAGCTTGGCACTAGTTAACCATAGAGGCCAGGCAGTGGCAGCACACACCTTTTAATCTTAGCACTTGGTTAGCATGTGGGAGGTGGAACAGGAAAATCAGGAGTTCAAGGCCACACTGGGTTACCTGAGATTCAACCAGTCTAAAAGAATAACAGCTCACATCTTTGATCCCAGAATTTGGGATCCCATGCCTTTAATCCCAGAATTAGGGAAGGTGGAGACAGGAAGTGATATGGCTGGGTGAAGAGAGGAATATAAGGCTGAAGGAGACGGGCTCAGTCCCATTCAGTCTGAGAATTTAGTAGAGGTAAGAAGTCTCTCTGGTGGCTGGCTCCTTCTTTGATTTTTCAGCATTTACCCTGATACCTGACTCTGGGTTTTTATTATTAAGATCAATTAGAATTCTCACTACACAACAGTAGTCCATAAACAGTTTGTAATGAAGGCTGGGTGTGGTGGCACGTCTTTTTAACCCCAATACTTCAAGGCAGAGACAGGTGGGTTTCTATAAGTTCTAAGCTTACCTGATTTTCATAGCAAATTCCAAGCCAGCAAGGATACACAGTAAGACCCTGTCTCCAAAAAACATGGGTGGTTTTGATATTTTATATATATATGAAATATATATATATATATAATGAAATTACATTCAGTCCTTTTGCTCTGTCTAATGTATCTACTCCATATGCACTGCTTACCTGCTGCTCACTAAGTAGCCATTTTGGTTATCATACCCACTACCATAAGTACTTGTTGAAGTAGTCCCTATGTCCCTATCACACTTACTAATGGCCCCAAAGCATAAACTTAAATTATAATATATTGTTAAAAGTCTTCTATTCTATTATTGATTTGCCCATATTTTTCTTTGCCTAACTTGTAAACTTTATCCTAAGCATTTATGTATAGGAAAAAAATCGTAGTGCAAGTAAGATTTAGTTCTTTACAGAGTTTCAGGCACCCAATAAGGATATTGGGTCATAGCTCCCTCAGATGAGGAAGAACTTCTGATACCTTAAAAGAAAGAGACTCTTGTATAAGTCACTTGGACCACTTTAGTGCAAACCTAGGTATAATGAACAACTATTGGGATTTGGGGGAGTGGTATTATTTTTGATAATTGTATACTAACTGCCCTCTTTCTGCCACAGTTCCAGCATCATCAGTAGGCTAGATAGAAGGTGACCTCTCCTCATAAAGACTTGGACAACTCAGATTATCTGAAGACACAGACCTGACAGGAGAAGAAAAACAAAACACTTGAAGCAAGAAACTCAAATGTAATCCTATGATCAAAGTAGCTGGTCAACACTTCCATCAGAAGTGAGGATAGGAAGCTCATCAGAGAACGCCGGCCCATGAGGTGTTTGCAGTGTATCATTCTGCTGTAAGCAATGTGTCGCTTCTGCACAATCAGAGACTGTCTCATCTCTCCACTCAACGTGGAAGTTGCCTTGTGCCTAAACTGAATTGACAAATGCATTGTAACTACAAATTTTATTTATTGTTATGGAACTGTGAGGTCTACATATAAAGGGAAAAAGTTCATGTGGGAAGCTGATGTACACTCAGCTGATGCCAGCATTGTTAAAGCTGTTCACAAAGCAGTGGCAACCATTGGCCCTTAGCATTCCCGGCATACCTGTTAGTGTCTTAAAAAGGAAGGGAGTCCTTTGTTGCCCTCTCCGACCTTCGCCATATGAATAGTGTTTTCCATGAAATAGGAAAATATTACTTGGTATAGCATTCTCTCTTCTTTTTTCACTCATTTTTATTTTCTCTTTGTGGTTGTTATATTTGGTCTAAGTCTGCATAGTTTATGGTCACAGTCCAGAACCCTCCTCCAGCCCTGTGTGCTTTGTTCATGTCCTTGCAGTGATAAGCAGACACCATCTGTGACCATAGCCTAGCTAAGATTTTGAAAGGGGAAATTTTGTCCCCTGGATTTGCCCCCAAATAAACATTGCTTTATTTCTAATAATCACTAAGACTTTTCAGGCTTCTAGGTTTCATAGTAAAGCTATAATAGCAAGAAATGTAACTTACAAGGGAGAGTCTACTTTTTAGAAATTGCTTTGTTTTCCAAGCAGTAAGTACTACATAATATGGTACTTGTAAAGTGTTAGCTGTAAGTAAGCACAAAATGCATTCAATACAATACAAAGATGACTTTTCAGGCCATGATCATAGTGAGCGTAACAGAACCCGGGAGTCCCCAGGACAGGCAGTTTGAACGCACACAACCACTCCAGGCTAATTACCTATGGAATCCAAGAGCAATGGTCACATTTCCTTACCCTGGCCTTTACTTCTCTGTCCTTTGGTTGACTGATCAGTGCAGTTGGGGCAGGGTGTGATTTAATCACCTACAAACCACCTGCCTTTGCCCTAGGAAGAGCTAGATTAGCGCTGAGCTGTACTTGTCATTCCATCTTAGCATTACTTATTAAAGCCCCTCTATCTCTAATCCTTCATACTTGTATTTAAGACACGGTAATCACTTTGAACTTCCATGAAATCTGTCTTCCACCACAGCAGCGCTGGGAGAGAAAAACATGCTGAACATGATGGTCTTGGCTAAGTAACTCCTTAGAGCCAGTATCAGTAGCAGTCTGCACATAGAAGAAAAATCCCAAGTCATTCTGTAACTTAAAACAACGGAGAATTTGAAAGAACAAAAGCTATTAAGACAGCACTTCATATCTCCATCAGGACTATTTCTAACAAGTCAGTCTTTGATGAATTTAGTGGACTTAGGTTGTATATGTTCTCCAGTTATATCAGACTACCTGTGGCCTTGTTCTTCATTTCAGTGTTAATCGGCTCAAACAGAAGTTGTTGCTTATGATGTGTGAGTGAACATAAGCCACTGCCTGGCCTTTTTCTTCAGAGCTTGTTGTCTTTTTCGCTATATTAGACTTTGCAGTATGCCCAGAAGCTTTCCTTCATAAAATAGAAAGAAAAAAAAACATTTGGCTTATTTTTCACTGTAGCTAGTCTTTTATACAATAATCTTGTAAGAAAATTTCTTGAATTCTAAATATTACTCTTTCTAGATTTTTGAAATCAAAAATTTTCAGTAAAAAGTTTCTTACTTTATTTTATTATATTAGGTAGTTAAAGAAAATGTAGGGTTATTTACCATAACCTGTTCATTAATATCAGAAATTTACAATAGCATTTTAAGAGCATAGTAGGTTCTAGCATACCGTGTAGTTCCTATGGAGTATTGTGAGAGCGAACTGTTGGGAGATGAGCTGCTTTTCATCTTGTTCTCCAGTTTCCATTGTCGATTTATTGCAGATTTGTATCCTGTGTCAAATTCAAGGTATTATTGATAAACCTTTTCAACCAGCAGCAAGAAGTTCAAATTTTTTTTCTGTCACTGTAACAGAAAACGCAGTATGTATATAACATTTATGTAGCAATAAATGTGCCATCCTTTTTTTAACATAGTAAACTAGTGAGTTTTTTACACTTTTGTTTCCCACAGAATAATGTATTTTGTTTTCTTTTCTCTACCTCCTTCCTCCTAGAAAGTCTCAAACTGCTTTTCCTGTCTGCACTAACTGTGCTTCACGGGTGACCCTGCAGGACAGATGGGCCTGGGAAAGCTAAGATGACACATCCCAACCTGCACAGTTCTCTTGCCCTCTCTTCTGATGCTGTAGTAGAGAAAATCTCCTCTTGCAGATGTAGAGAAGAATGAAGATGATGGGAAAGGACTTCAGATGAGGGTTTTATTAACAGCCCTTAAAACACCCTCACAATCTTTTCTGTCTCTCTTCTCTCACCTACAACCAAAAATAAACAAGCAATCAAACCTGCCATAGTAGGGAGATGGCAATGTAATTAAAAGCTTATTCATCCATTTTTAACACTACATTCATACACACATGTATACATGTATGCATGCATTGAACTTCTATGAGAACTTCATGAGAAGCCTGAGATAAGGACCATCTGGAGGTCTTTTTCATGAAGAAACCAGGTGGATTTTGAGATTTGATATTCATGTGAGGCACAGCAGATCATTTTACTTCTTATGTGGTTTGATAAATATAAACCTTTTAGTTTTATACAAAATGACAAACTAAAAAAACCTTCATACAGGAAGAAAATATCTGATGTTAGAAGTGAAACAGATTTGGAGAGCTAGTCACCTTGCCTCATTGACGGGTTTATAAGAGCGCGCCCAGAAAAATCCTGTGTCTAGGAGCACTTAGAGCTGGTCAAGACTTAAAACTTTTCCTACAAAAGCCCTGTCTTCAATTTTTTTCTCTCTGTACAACTTCTAAGGGATTCAACTCAATGGTTTCATTTTTTTATTTATTTCCACTAATTTCTCTCTAGTTGATGAATTCTTTTTTTTTCCTTAGAAACTCAATTATTTTAAATAGACATCACATAAGGGGTGGGTGTACTTGAGGTGTGTGTGTGTGTGTGTGTGTGTGTGTGTGTGTGTGTGTGTGTTTAGCTAAAGAGTATTAGTTTTGGCATCAGTCAGTTGTTCAAATCCAAGCTCAACGTCTAATTAACTCCTTTTCCTTATCTGGAAAGTGGAGAATCTGTACAAGAATTGTGTAAGTATTGAATGAAACAATGTATGGAAAGCTCTACCATGATTCCTATCACATAGTAAGGAATCAATAAATTATGAATATTTTTAAAATAAATAGTATTTTAACCAGTTCCTGGATGGTTCCTCTTCAGCCACACTGTGGGAAGTGACTTGTAACCCCAGGAGATAGCAGGCTGTGTCTGTGGGAGCCTACATCTTCTGCAGTCCTCCAGTGAAAGGTGGCACTGCTTCTGGTTTCCATTGTTGGTGTATTCAGGATTTATGGGTTTTCAAAATAAGGTTTTTCTGTGTAGTCCTGGAAGTCCTAGAACTAACTTGGTAGACTAGGCTGGCCTCAAACTCAGAGATCTGCTTGCCTCTGGCTCTGAGGTGCTAGGATTAAAGGTGACCACTACACTGACTGAAGATGTATCATCACATACCAGTAGAACGAGCCTGAAGGCCTTGCTCAGTGCCCGTTGTGGGTGGGTAGTGCTGTCAGTCTTGGTTCCAGGAAGCAGGTGCCAAGGGGCAAGTTCAGAGTATAAATGGTCTTATTGGAAGGAGTGAATAGGCAGGGATGGCCTTTGAGCCTTGATACAGACCTGCCATCTGAACAGAGTGAGCATGGAGGAGGGTCACTTGACTCCTGGAAGGACATGCAGAACCCTGCAGTGGTTAACAGCAGAGAGCTGTGCCTGTTGCACACCTGGGTGTTCAAGTCTCAGGCCTCTGAACTCTGCAGCAAGGTGTTAACAGCAACTCACACAACTAACAGCAGCTTCCCAAAATGAGAACCTTAAATGGAGGCCTTGAAGTTAAACTACTGTGACTGCCAACAGCTCCTATACAACTTAGCAGAACAAAATCGAAGCCTTTTGAAGTCATTGCAAAGGAAATGGACCTTAGTCTGATGAAATGATTTTCCTTCTGGCTCTCAACAGCCAGTGGACTTACACATGTAGAAGAATGAGGCCCGTACTTCCAAGGACTCTGGTAAGTAAATCTAGGTACAACCCCCTGTGGGTGCTATGCTTGGTGTTCTGGAGTCCTTCACAGTGGAGAGTGGACAGTGCATGTCTTTGGGGCCAACCTGTGCAAAGCCTGTTTCCTCATTTGGGTGTTTCCCTATGATCTTGCTGGGTTCTTGAGCATAGTCATAGGAAAGACGACTCTAGTCTAGAATGTCTTCATAAGGGCTCAGTCCCAAGTTGCGTGAAGTGGGTGTGGTGCTGCGTGCCTCCAGAGGTTGAAGCAGGAAGATCAAAAGTTCAAGGTCATCTTCAGTTTACACTGAGTTTGACAACGCCCTAGCTTGCAGGAGACCCTGTCTCAAGCTACAAATCACAAATGAACTTATAAAAGGCATCCACTTTTCTGTCTATTAACAGTTATCAAAGACACAGACCTCACAGCAGCTACAAAATACTGCCAGTATATGCCTCAAGACTGGAAGACATTGAAGAGACACAAGAAAATACCATGTTTGGTGTTTGAAAAAACTAATGTTGTTAACGCATTCATACTACTTAAAGCGAACTATAGGATTAATGCAATTCCCATCAAAAAAAAAAACAAAGATATTTTCTAGAAATTATTAAAAAAGAGAATCTTAAAAATTGAATGGACTCATGAAAGACTCCAAATAACCAAACCAATCATGGGCTGGTGAGATAGTGTAGTAGTTAAGGTTCAAGCTGGTTTATAGAGCAAGTTTCAAGACAGCCAGAGCTACACAGAGAAACCCTGTCTCGGAAAACAAGCATTTGAGCTGGAAACCAACTTTGGGTTCTTTGAGGACCAGGAAGTGCTCTTAACCACTGAGCCATCTCTAGCCTGAGACTCTTATTTCTTCATTTTATTGTCATTTTGAGACCTTTAACTACAGCCTTAGCTAGCCTGGAACTCACTGTGTAGACTAGGCTGGCCTCAAACTCACAGAGATCCTCCTGCCTCTGCCTCCCAAGTGCTGGGATTAAAGGTGTGTGCCACCACCTCATTCATCTGTTGGTGGACATCTAATATAGTTCTAGCTGTTGTGAATAGGACAATAAGCATAATATCTCTGTGGTACAGCTTACAGATTTCTAGGTATTCTCACTATTAAAAAAAGCATATGAAGTAATATGCTAATTACATCAATTGAGTCATTCTATAATATAAATATTTCAAAGCATTATGGTATATGCAGTAATTAGAATTTAACTTGTCAGTTAAAATGTTTAAACCTTTTTATGCTGATGCCAGATTTGGTTCCCAAAGGTCTTAAACCAGTCTGCAGTGTGCACATTTCAGTTACCGCTGTTCTTAGATTTCTAACTTCCCCAGAGTTGGGAAACAGATGCTGTGTTTTCCCCTCCAGAGGCAAAAACCACATTTGAGTCTCTGGAGATTTAGCCTGAAGATACCCCAAGTGACAGCAAGAATCTTTGGAAGCTGTAGCCACGCTCTTCTCTTGTACTCGGGAAGGTTTTGTGTGTTCCCTGGCCGTATGCAGCCATGGCCGTTGTTGGGCTAATGTGACAGCCCTAGAGAAGGCTGGTGGCAGGACTTCTTCTCAGCCTACAGGAAGGAGCACTTGGTTCTAGCCTGCTATCGTGATGTTTTGTCCCTCATTTTCCTAGTACTCTTAGTGGTCACCCTCATGGATGGTGCCTCTAGCAGCCCAGTCATGAAGTTGCACCGCCATCCCCCTACCCCTGATCTCCAGGACTTTGGACATTTGATAGCGCTGCCTTGTGGGACCTACCTCACAGTAGAGTAGCCATGAAAAGCAGGTTCCCCACCTCCCAGCCCAGTTCTCCCAACTCCTCTCTTGTCAGGCTAGATGCCCTGCCCCTTGGCCTCCATCCAAGCCTCCAGGCCATTGTGCCTTGTCTTCATTAAGGCCTGAAAGGAGCGTGTGTGCTTTCAGACTCTGAGCAGCAAGTTATTGATCAACACTGATAGCAGGAGTAGCTTGATCCTCCCCGAATGGCAGAGATTAATTAGCTTGATTCCCAAGCATAATTCTTAATTAGGCACAGGAAGAAAGGAAAAAACACAAAGGAACTATTCTTCCCCTAAGGACTGCTGACCTTCTGCCTAGGGTGAAGAGGGAGGAGTAGGAAGTAGGAGGCAGACCCGGGTAAACACGTACTGGCACTGTACACACATCCTGCTGGGTCCAAACCTGTGCAGGTCATGTGGGTATGCGTGTTTCTCTTGTTTGCTTCCCTCCTGGCCCGCTGATGCACAGAGAAGGCCCAGTCAAGCCCCAAGCTTTGAAGTTCCTACTCTAGGCTGTGTATGTCTGTGGAGAATTCAGTTACACTTGCTTCAAGTGGAAACGTTGGGCAGGAAGAGGACAATGTCCTGAAACTTGCCTAAAAACACTGAAGGAAACCATTTCCTGCAGCCAGGAAAGCAGGAGTTTCTTTGAATTCCTGACATTTTCTAGAACTTTTGGTCCATGGTCCCACTAGTTCTCTGCTGATAGGGCAGGACAATTGGTGTAGGAAGGAGCTGTGACTTAGCAAATGCAAGAAATATCCATGAGCCACCCGCCTCTAAGTTTCGCTTTTCTCTTCACACGAGCTTCATGGTAGGTGTTAGAATTACTGAGGAGGTGCACGGCATATAGTAGGTCCTTGGAGCATAGGAGCTTCCAGTCCTCCCTACTAAGGAAAGCAAACCAAGGGAACAGTTTGTCAGAAAATGAATTACGGGCGATTAATCCACCAACACACATACAAAAAAATGTGTGTTAGGTATGTTTTGACCCCGTATTTCTGAAATCCAGTCACGTGATGAACATAGACAGACAAACTGCAATGACTATAAGCAGTGTGACCTGGGAAGACAGGATTTGGCTGCCAAACCAGGGTCAGAGTAGGCTGCCAGGAAGAACTGCCAACCTGAGTCCTGGGTAACCTTCTGTTCAGGAAGCAGTTAGAAAGCAGTGGCTAATGGATGTGGAGCTAGTGTTAAGGCCACTGGAAGACCTTGACATAGATGGGAAGTCACATTACAGTGCCCTGCCTCATGACAACCACTACTCACACCTCCACTAAAACACCCATCCAGCTCTTTTTTTTTTAACTATTTTTTTTCTTTTTTTTTTTTTTTTAAGATTTTATTTTGTACACAGTATTTCGCCTGCCTGTATTTCTGCAGGCCAGAAGAGGGCACCAGATCTCATTACAGATGGTTGTGAGCCACCATGTGGTTGCTGGAAATTGAACTCAGGACCTCTGGAAGAGCAGCCAGTGTTCTTAACCGCTGAGCCATCTCTCCAGCCCCCCATCCAGCTCTTTTAAGCCTCTGTAAGACAATCTTATCCAAACAACCAGTTATAGGCCAACTCCTGGGGCAATTTGGACTCTGACCACCGGATAGTTGATGCATTCAGAAACCATCAGACGTGACTGTGGGGCTGTTTCTCTACGAGTCTTTCTTGTCTTGTACAAGTATGTATTGAAAAGTGTGACGACCTCATGGTAGGACATGTGAAACTCATATGGTGTGTTGGGGAGCCAGAAGGGGAATACAAATGGAACTGTACTGGCTGTTGTCCTCTGTTAAGCTGGGTGGGAGTCATTATGCACTACTTCAGAAAATACGTGAGGTTTTCTTTATAGTGAGTGTAGAGGGAAGGGCTTTGTAATCATTCCTGACTGTCCTGGGAGGAATGAGACACTGCTTTCTGCTTAGTCAGATGAATAAGCCTGTGAGGAAACATACCTACATCGAGCAGCTCAAGCTCCAGAGTCTCTGAGGAACAAGCCTCTACCTGGGAGACAGCAGGGCAGGAGACAGGAGCACAGCACAAGGGATGTAGGGATATAAGGCTGGAAAGGGCCATGGGGCCAGGACAGAGGCCTCAGCACAGGGTATCATAGCCATTGATGGGACGCCTCAATGGGGACCCGCTCCAGGGTTAGGTATGTCTGAAGGAAGAAGAGAGCCTAGTGTGATGACCCGTTACCCTGAGTCCCAGAGCTCCCTCTAAACTCTCCAAGCTGAGGTTGAGGACAACAAGGTCAGCATCCACCTCCCGTGTTGCATCCAGAGAGCCACAGGCTTGTGGGAAGATCACGGGATGACATGTCCAGATCTGCCCAGGGAGGCAGAGAGGCTGCCAACCCACAG